CAAAGTTTAGGAAAGGATTTTATCCAGTTATTTTCCCTCTCCAGACTATTGGCAGGAAAATAGCTATCTTCTCCTTAACCCGGGATGGAGTGAGTCTGGGCAAGGGTAAGTAGTTGCTCAGAACAACAGATTTAGTCCCTTGTCAAGTTGCTCAACTAACAGATCGTAAGTGCAGAGGGGTGCCCAAGAGGAAATGGATAAGATGGCCCCAATTTTCCTGCTTGGTGCAATCCCTCCTCCATGGCTGTTGATCCATCAGGCTATTTCTGAACACAAGTATAGCCCTCTTCGGAAAGGTGCTAAACCTGTGTCTTAAAATAGCCTGGCTAATCACAGCCACAAAGAAGAATGATTGGCAGTGGGAATGTGATTTTTTTTCTCCTCAATCAGCACTGCAAGGGAATGGCAAAAAGTCATCAAAGAATCCAAGCCAGTATCGTCCAACCATTTTGAGCTGGGTTGATAATAATGAGCTTTGAGTTCTACGAAAGAGTAGAGCAGGGGTGTCAAACTGCCGGCCCCCGGGCCGGACGCGTCATGTGGAAGCCGCGCCCACCCCATTGCTGGCAATGGCAAAACCGGATCGATACGTTGCGCGATGTCGCGAGTTTGACATGCCTGGAGTAAAGGTAGCCCGTGACTTACAACCACAATTGAGCCCAGAATTTCTGTTGCTAAGCAACACAATTGTTAAATGAGTTTTGCCCCACTTTACAACCTTCCTTACCACAGTTATTAACTAAATCACTGCAGTTATTAAGTTAGTAACATGGTTGTTAAACGAATACGGCTCCCCCCCCGAATTTGCTTGTCACAAAGAATGATCACATGACGACCCCCAGGACACTGCAACCATTATAAATATTGTGGTATTTAAACGTTGTGGGTGCTTCATCACTCCAGGTTTTTAAGAAGAGACCGGACAGCTATTTGTCTGAAATGATATAGGGACTCATGCTTGAGCAGGGGGCTGGACTAGAAGACCTCCAAGGTCCCTTCCAGCTCTATTCTGATTGAATTGAATATGCCAGTTGCCAAGTGTCCAAATTTTGATCATGTGACCATGGGGATGCTGCAACTGTCGTAAGCGTGAAAAAAGGTCATAAGTCACTTTTTTCAATGCTGTTATAACTTTGAACGGTTCAGTAAATGAACTGTTGTAAATTGTGAACTATTTGTATGCTCCCCTTTTGAGTTTTCCATATGTTTGAACATCTCTGCCACTGAATAGTATCAGAGATTCTTGTAAAACTACTGATATATACAGGATGAGTGAACAAATAGCACCAACATCTGGTGCCTGTTCTTTTTTTATTTATTTCATAAACATCATCCAACCTGCAGTGGGTCAGTGTAAAAAAAGTAATTCCTCTTTGCGATTCGTTAACTGGCTTCACCACTTTTAACTTGCAGTCACAGCAAGGAAACACTTCCTGGATGGGTGATCTGCCTCTCATTTTGATGGGGAGGAATTCTGGCCCATTTCTTTTTGGCCAACTATTTCAACTCAAGAATATTTGAAGGTTTTCTCGCTCATGTTAGGTCCCACCACAAAAGGCAGCCTGCAAGACATGCGGCCCTGGACAGCTAGTAATGTGGCCCCATGATTTTAACATTATGTGATTTTTAGTGATAGTTACTATTTTATATATTTTATATGTGGCCCAAGACAATCCTGCTTCATTCAATGCAGACCAGGCATCATCAAGATCTAAGACAGTGGTGGCGAACCTATGGCACGCGTGCCAGAGGCGGCACTTGGAACCCTCTCTGTGGGCACGCGTGCCGTCGCCCCAGCCCCACCTCCCCCCGCGGCCCCCTCCTCACCAGCAGCCCCTCTGGAGGAGAGTCGCCCCCGGGCACGGCCTGCATGGAGCAGCGCAGTCAAGGACATAGCCAGGCAGCAGGGACAAGACTCCGCCCTCACACTCCATAGCATGCAGATGATGCTGCGGGGTGTGGGCAAAGGGCATGGCTGCCATGACGCTGCAGGGCTGCCTGGGTTATCTGCTGCTTGGGCCATGGAGATGGTGCATGGCCCTGCGGGTGGGCGGGGCAGGGCAGGGGCGGAGCAGGCAGGACGGGAAGCGGAGCGGGGGCAGAGGGCGGATTTTGGGCACTTGGTCTCTAAAAGGTTCGCCATCACTGATCTAAGACATCCCATAGGATGAATTGTTTATAAAAACAAGAAAAAAGAAGGTAAAGATATAGGATGACAAAATTGAATGAGAACAAAGCTTTACAAGCTTTTTAGCTACCTCCTTTGAGGTTTATAGGAAAGCAACCCACCTTTAAATCTCCTTTGAGGTTTAAACCCACCTTCGTGTAATCTCTAATACTGTTAGCCCCACTAAGTAGCTCAGACCAAGAAAATAACTCCATAGGAAGGCTAAAACTACTGAGACTGGTTGTACTAACAGAATCTTGCAAATCTGATTCCAACTATGCCTCAGCATTTGCTCACCAAAGCTCACAACTGAAGAATACAAAACTTCCCGGGATCAGAAGTCTTCGTTCATGCTTCTTTGTA